CTTGGTGGGTCTATGAAATGATATTGCACCCCATTGCGCCATGCCACCAGTTTGGTTATAATTACATCAGTACATCTGTGTTATGCAGTCTGGATACTGGATAAATCCATTTTTCTGTGTAATACAATGCTGCAACAAACAGAATCACTTTGTATTTACATAGAAAAAATCGGACCAGTGTTTGCGATGTTATTCTAACATCTGTAAGTTTGGATGACGTCTGGTTTTGGTTTGAACACCGAAAAGAAGCTCCATAGATTCCAGTTCACGTAATGGATTTGTTTTGGGAACGATCCATGTCCTCCTATCAACAGGAGTTCTTTGTTGAAATGTGATGGTACACAACAGAAAGTGCTCCTGCTGGTCTGATAACAAATGATCTGAACTTTTGGCCACACGTTTATATGTCACTGTGGTGCGGACGGATTATGTGATGGGAGTCTGGAGGAGTGGGTTTTTTTTTTTTTTTGCCTGTCCCGTTTGGCTCTTTTACCATCAGAATTGTTGTCTAAAGGCAAAGAAAGATGCCCAACGGATTTACTTTACCAAATTGACCATCCCAGCCTTGCCGTAATGGGCCATTTGATTCACCTTTATTGTTTCTTTTATTTTCACTTGCTGAATATGGGACAGACTTGACTTGACTTGGAAAGAAGGGGAGAAAGAAAGAGGGAAAGAGAAACAGCTGAGAAGAGGGACAGGGGAGAAGGGCAAAAAACAAAAACCAACAGAATGGGCAGAAGAAAAAAAAAGAAAAAGAAAAAAAAATGCATATATCAATCACCTGGATCACCTGTTGAGAAAGAAAAAAGAAAACAAGCAGAAGAGAACAAGAGTAACAGAATAAACAACATCACAATGATATATGGGAATATGACAGTAAATACTAAATATTAAACATTATTGTGCAGCACATAAGATCAACAGAACACAGTGTGCTTTGAGGTAGGAGCCAAAAGGTTGTAGTTTGTGGGTGTGATCACCCGTGTGTACACCTGTGAGCATGGACGCGCTTGTTTTTTTGTTTTTTTTTAAAGGTTCCTTCATGTAATGATCTGCTAGAGGGTGTGGGGGGGCCACAGCCCCGTCCTCCAGGGCATGAAGCAGGTATGGAGGAGATCAAAACTCCAGACATCCAGAGGCCCCCAGAACACAAGAGACCAAGGAAGACCAACAGAGGGGCAGCCGCGCCACTGTCCCAGAAAGAGCTGAGGAGAGTCCCAGATGAGGGCTCACTCAGCAGCCGCGGAGCAGAAGCCAGGGGGGTCTATCTATATCATGGCTAAAGCAATGCAAACTGCATTTCGTTGCCCTGTACCTGTGACATGTGCAATGACAATAAAGTTGAATTCTATTCTATTCTATTCTATCCTATTCTATTCTATACTTACAGTCCTTTCTGTGCTCAACTGCTTCAACAGCTCAGCTGCTTCAATTACTCTGCTGACCGCTTCCTCATTTTAGACTTAGAATCATTAGTGCCAGAGCCATTAGTCGTGCTACACCTTGTCTTTAGAACTTATAACCCTTCACCTTCATCAGCTGGACTCCTTGGCACAGCTCAAAACCCCTCTTTTTTCATCAGCATATGAAACATTGTTTTATGTACGTTATAATCATATTATTCCTTGAATTTAAAAACTCTACAAGTATTGTTGTAGTTGTTAATTTTGGTTTGAAACATGACCCTGACCCTTTCCTAATATGCTTTTGGGGTGCATCTTCCTGCAACGCCCTTATCACTTTCAGTCATCAGGAACTAATAGACATCGGCCTCAGCATGAACCCGGACTTCATGTCAGATTGGACTGACAGCATCTCACCTGAGATTGTAAGGCTGTGGGTTATTGTTGGTAACAGCAAGCAACTCAGGCTGCTCAGGCAGAGGAAACAAAAGCGGCGCTGCAGAGCCTGCTATTGCGTTGAGCTGCAAAAACAACAACACAAACCCCTGTTTCCATCCATCTTTTTCACAAATGGCAAATCCCTCGCAAACAAAATAGAGGAGCTACAATCAGAGACTTAATTCAACCGCTTTGTCGGGGAGTTTTGTCTACTGATTGTAACTGACTCCTGGCTTTTAGGGATTCTTAAAATATTCTGATTCTGATTTTGACATCCCAGATGGCACTGAGGCAAACCGTAACAAAACCCTAACAAAGACGCTGGTAAGAAAAGGGGTTGTGAGCTCTGTCCCTATGTACTTCAGGACTGGTGCTATAAAATTAGAACTATAGACAGTCACTGATCACCAGACTTAGAGGCCATGTCCATTCAGTGCAGGCATTACTATCTACCTTGCAATTTACCATTGTTTACATGCCCTCCTACATGCTAACGCTAGCTCAGCACTCAATCACCTCCAACTTATCATCAGCAAACAGCAGAGAGAGCGCCCAGAGGGGATCCATATTGGTCCGGGTTTGCTATGCAAAAACAGCTGGAGATTTTTTGAATGGTATATTGCTTTATTCTCCAGTGGATCATAAATGAAGTTCACGGCGAGACCGTTAAGGCTGGTAGGCCTCCTGTTCTACCTGATGCCAAGCGCCCCCTCGTGGCGGTGGGATGTTTATCGAATAATGGTGGACAGTCCCAGGGAAGCGGCCAAAAAATACACTTTTTAAAGTATGTGTTTCGTTGTATTCACTTATCTAACATTCCCTCAGGTTTCTCTTTCTTTTAAAGCCTTTGACGGTTCAAAGGCTAAGAATATTACAGAGACTGTGGGGATTTTATAGACAGTAATAACGATCCTTAAACAATGATTAAAAACGATTCTTCGTTTAATCCTCGGCTCTGTTGCATTGCAACATTCGGCTCAAGCAGCCCCAGATTTCCAACAACACAACAGCAGCAGTGAATATGATGCTGTCATAGTTCAGCGTGGAGCCAGAGTCTGTCCACAAACGCAGAGAAACACAAAAAGCTGCTGTTACAGTGACGGCGACCTCAGATGGAAAGAAAACTTTTTTTTGTTGTTGTGTCCAAAAGCCGCCCTATATGACAGCAATATCCATTAAAATGAATTATTAACAGGTTCACCATCATAACTCTTTTTGCCCCTCCTACTAATGTAACAAAAGCTTCCAAAAAGATAGAGTGAAGGCTATTTTATTTTATGCCTTAGTTTAGGTTCTTTGTATACCATCTTTTATTTGCAATTGCTGGTAATTATTATTTCTTTTTCAAAAATGTTTTATTTAAAACATATCATTTTATTATGGCACAGAAAGACAAACCATCTCATTAAACTATTAAACACTGCAATTTTTGACATTTAATTCAATGAGCAGTGCATTTTATGAGACTGTGATTTTCTTTTTTTAAATATTTATTATTGCTCATACACAATGCACAAGTATTTCTTATCAAATGAATCAACAAAAGAATCAATAAAAAGCTTGAAGTAAAATGATTGATAGCTGCTGTCGCCGTTTGGACTCTTTCGACTTGTTTCTCTCTGATGTTTTATGGAGAAACAAGCAGACAGTTCACTTGTTGCACTCAAAGAAAGGAGTTTTATTTACAAGAGTCAAACATTTGACCAGAGCATTCTGATAAAAAAAATCAACAGTGAAGTTGGAATATCCCAGTTTAATCACGTTATGCTGCAGTTTACATTTATTTAGCTGCCATCCTGAACACAGCCCTGGATAGGAAGACAGGAGGTAAATATGAAACCTCTTATTCTCTTTCTGTGCTGTTTATGCAGTGTTGCTATAACACTGGAGTCTGTCGCTGTTGTTTTAAATACTTTCTGCTGGATTTTGTCTCTGTCCTGTTTCCCTTTAGCTGTTTTTCTCTTTAAATAAAAAGTACAAAGTTTGCATTGTGATTATAAGTTAAAATTGGGTTTAACTTATGAGTTGCTACTACTACTACTACTCATTACTATGAGTAACTAAAGCTTTCAGACAAATATAGTGCTGCTATATATTAAAATAAGTCTATGTGTCTCCTTCTTATATAAAGTATTCACATATTCACTTGAAAAGAAAAACAATTTTCTGAGATGAAGTTGAGCTGAGAAGAAGGCATGATGTGATATGAAATGGAAATAAATGTATGTTAAATTTTCACTGAAGCTTACCATTTGAGTCGAGTTAAATTTCACCACTGATTATTTTTAGTAGAATATTTTTTTAATATATTAATAACATTTTAAGGTCCACTTATATTGTCAAAGTGAAACGAGACTAGTCTCACTGACTGCATTAGCTAAATTTATACAAAATCTCAGAGCACACAATCAACATTAATAAACAGCAGAACTACTCAAAGATCCAATAAAACAACAGCATGCTTAACTTTAACCTTCCAGAAAATCAGCATGACAGTCTTTATATATACACATTTCATTTCTTTTTTTAATGTATGCAACATCCCAGCTTTTATTGAAAAAGTTTTATGAAAAATGTGTTCTGTGAAAGTAGTTAAGGATCTCCATCTAAACTGGTTTTTATGTGTAAACTCTACAGTACAAAATAATGATAAAACAATCAATTCTCTAATCATTGACTAACTGATGAATCACTGCAGCTCTAATATATTTTTGCATTTGACAACCCACTACAGCAACTACAGAGTAAAACCACTAACCAGACTGATGACAGATTTCAAACATGCTGAATATGAAGAGTAGTATCATTTAAACTCACATGATTATCAGCCATAAGAACAAATTCAGATTTATATTGATGTAATAATAATAATGGATTGGATTTATATAGCCCTTTTCAAGGCACTTGCATTCACACACACTGGTGGAGGCAAGCTACGGTTGTAGCCACAGATGCCCTGGGGCAGACTGACAGAAGCAAGGCTGCCATATCGCGCCATCGGCCCCTCTGGGCAACACCATTAGGGTAAAGTGTCTTGCCCAAGGACACAACAACCAGGACAGAGAGCTCAGGGATCGAACCGGCGACCTTCTGGTTACAGATACGCTTCCCAACCCCCTGAGCCACGGTCGCCCTGGTAAGGTAAGGTATATAAATGTAAGTACAGTTTGAATCAGTGCAATATTATTTTCACACATCAATGGACCACTGAACTTCTCAGCTTCTAAAATGTAAAGCCTCATTTAGAAACTACACAAGTACATATAATGGTCAGGGATCAACATGAACCTGTCTTCTCTGTTTGACTTTAATCAACTCTGCAGTGGCTCCAGCTGAAAAATAAAGCCAAAGTCCAGCATAGAGCGGCTGAGTGAATGTGGTCTGGACTCTGTGGAGGAGAGTCATGGTTTCAGAGACGCTGTAGAAAGACAGAATACCTGCTCTGTGATCCAGGTACACTCCTACTCTGGAGGACCGAGGACCTGAGAGGACAGTTCGTACTTTCTTGTGAAAAAATGAATAACTGTTGTTTTCACAAAGTAATGCCCAAGATTTGTTATTGTATCCAAATATACGATCAGCTGACTTTCCTACTCTTCTGATATTCTTGTATGAGACTGCTACTTCTATCCCTCTCCCTCTCCACTCCACCTCCCAGTAGCAACGTCCAGTCAGACTCTCTCTACTCAGGACTTGATCATAAAAGGTGAATCTGTCTGGATGATCAGAATAAGACTGTTGTTGTTTCAACTGTGTTGCTTTTCTGTCCCCTTTAGATAATAACAGCTCTTTGTGTGCTGTGTTTGGATCCAGTGTGATTTCACGTGAATATTTTAAGAATCCAGCTCTGGTCTTTGGCTCTGCTGGTGACAGTAAAACATCCTCTTCAGTGACTGTCAGTGAGATGTTTGTCCATTCCTCTCTCAGAATGTCCTGTAGTTTATCTCTGGTCTCTGACACAGCTGCTGTCACATCCTCAAAGTAGCTCAGAGGACGAATATTGATGCTGGATGAGTGTGTAGACTCACTGAGTGCTGACAGTGAGGGGTAGTTGTGTAGAAACTGGTTGTGATCCTCTGTGTGTGAGAGCTGCTCCAGCTCGCCGTCTTTCCTCTTCAGCTCAGCGATCTCCTGCTCCAGCTTCTCCTGAAGCTCTTTGACTCGACTCACTTCAGTTTCCTGCTGGGATCTGACCTGCTGCTTCACATCAGAGCTTCTTTTCTGGATGAGACGGATCAGCTCAGTGAACATCTTCTCACTGTCCTCCACTGCTTTATCAGCAGAGCCATTGATGGCCTCCACCTCCTGTTGAAGCAGCTTCACATCTTTCTCTCGCTCCTGGATTCTCTGCTGGATGTTTAGTCGTCTCACCTCGAGCTCCTTCTGCTTCTCAGTCCTTTCTGCTGCAGCTGCGACTGTTTCATGGCCTTTATGTTCATCCATCGTGCAGAGATAACAGATACTCTGCTGATCAGTACGACAGAAAATCTTCATCACCTCATCATGACGAGAGCAGATGTTCTCCTGGAGCTTCTTGGAGGGGGCCACCAGCTTGTGTTTCTTTAACGGAGCTGCATCATAGTGAGGTTGGAGGTGTTTCTCACAGTAAGAGGCCAGACAGAATAAACAGGACTTGATGGCTTTCAGCTTCCTCCCAGTGCAGACATCACAGGCCACATCTTCAGGTCCAGCATAGCAGTGATCAGCTGGAGCAGCTTGGAGTCCAGTCTTCTTCAGCTGCATGATGTTTTTCACCAGGACAGGCCTCTGTGTGAAAGTCTTCCTCGTTTCTCCGTCCAGTTGAACTCCTTTCTGCGCCATTTCTCCTCTCAGTGTCAGTGACTGTGTGAGTTTCTCTTCCTTATAACTGAAATTAGTCTGAGCTCTGACCTCAACAACATGTGTTTTTTTTGCAGTGAATGGAGCCTGTCAGCTCTGAAACGTGGTTACACAAATGTTCAAAGGTCAGATCAGAAGTGAAGGGAATGAGGAAACATCTGAACAAAGGGGACTTCCCTTGTTTAAGAACAAGAAGATGAAGAACAGGGAGGATTGTATTTCACTCCAGGAAGTGGTTTGTAATTGTTATTGTGTGTTTAAACACTTTTTATTTACTGCTCACCTCAACTTGTAAGCTTTAAATAATTAATTACTGAATTAAGTAATTAACCCTTTAAGACCTACCATAGAACCAAGTCCACCAGAGCTTATATTATATTTTTACATGCTGTGGAGCCATTTTTGGGAGCATTTCAAGTTGCTATACATCAATACAACCATTATAGCCCATGTTTTAATAATATGCATGCATTAAGTGCATAGTAATTACATAAATTGCAAAAAAGATCAATAAACTACAAAAAAATTGAAAATTGTTTTTGTTTTTTTTAACATATATTTCTAGTTAGAGAAATTTAAGAGGCTTATCCCTCAAAACTGTAAATACAAAAAAGTTGCAAAAACTAGTTTCCCACCACGGGAAATTTATTTTGAGTGTCTTCATAGTTTTATTTTTGAAATACACCAATTTCTATACACTGCAGGAAAAACGAAAATAAATATTATAGGGCAAATTTGCAAAAAAGCAGCATATGCATCAAAATAAACTATTTCCAGCAGTGCAATATGAGTCCTAAGCATCCCAGAAACGACACAGAAAGTCATAAAGTCAAACATAACTTTTAAAAACACCAGTATAAGCTCATGAGGCCTTGATGGTAAAAAACTACATTTCCGCGAAAATGACGTCACTTCTGGTTTCGGGCAGGTCATGGTGGGCATGCGACAGTTCACGCTGATGGACGTAGGAAGTGTTATGAACAGCTGATCGGATCGGTAAAGCGTGTTTCTCGAATATTATGTTTTTGTTGCTGCAAGCGCTTTTTATGCAGCTTTTGCAAAGCCATATGTGGAAGGAAACTGTGACCTAGGACAAGCTGATGGCATGATGTAAGTACAACTCCTCCAGTTTCACATGCAAAGAAAATTATTGCGCTAGCTTACGTGGTTGCAGTGCTACTGGGATTTAAAAATAGTTACACAAAACGGAGCGTGTCCGCTCTGACCGGCTTTAAAGGGTTAAGTAATTTTAGGGTAAAATCTTGAATTTAGAATGTAATTTAGCCTAAAAGGCATATTTTAACGTTATATTATTTGAAGTTATGTGTTGCAATTCTGAAATCCCACAGGACATTAATGCACCAGATGATTTGGGTGATTTAACAAATTTAGAAACTCGAGTTGAACCAAAGTTATTTTGAGGGGAACATTACTATTTGACATTCAAAATATGAAAATAACATAACTGTCATGGTTCCTGAGGCCTCTCAGGCTGGCCTGCCTTTTCTCTCCCTCTCTCCATTGCTTTTCTGTCTTTCTTGTTTTTCTGTCAGTATTTGTATGTGTATGCTTGGGGGTATTTTGTTTAATTTCCTTCAGGTGCTTTCTCCGCATTCCTCCAGGTTCCTCACCCATTAGATCATATTTACCTATGGCTCATTGGCTAATCAGGCTGGTTACTTAAGACAGGACTAGATAGTTGTATGTATGGTCAAACCAAGCGCAGTACATGCGTTAGTGAGTACCCTGCAGCAACACCAAAGAAAGTCTGCTCACCTTTTGTTTCCAGGTAAAGGAGGTCTGAGAGAAGTTGTTGGACTATGACCTCAGAGACAGAAATATTGAGTTAATACAACTGTGATATACTGTGGAGCTGATCCATGCAACCCTGAGGTTATGTTGTAATAGTTCGTTTTGTGTTTTGCTGATGAAGAGCTGACCCTGAGGTATCTACACAGCAGCCATAATAAGAGCTCGAGTTAGAATTCTCTAAATACTGAGGAAAGGAGCTTCAATGCTTCAACAAACTGCAAAGATGATAATACAAACATTATTGTGATATAACTACACTTATGTGTGGTGACACATAATAAAAAATAAATAAATTCTGCTCTGTTATTATTGCACAATTGTAAATGTACTTTGAGAGTGCACCTGTACATTTTCAGCAGGTTCCTAAATAGAGGGTCAAGTCTTTCTACTAGAAGATCATATTCCGGTCAATGAATCACAGAATCGTATTACACAAGGCAATATTTTTTTTATTTCCATACAAAAAAAGAATAAGAGGAAAGTAAAAGGGAACCATAATATAGACTAGGGCAGACCTTCCCAAAGTGTGGGGCCCACCCCCTAGGGAGGGCAGAGAGCCATTGCAGGAGGGGGCGTGGTATGAAAAGGAAAAAACACAACGACAACAATACTTGGACACTGCTATCATGGGGCGCCTACACAAACGCAAAGCAGGAGATGAAGCATAGCTGAATATGTTTCCAAACCAACTTCATTCTAAGCCAAAGACTAGAAAATATGGTGAAGCATATCTTCCCTTTGGCTTCACCTGCACAAGTGCCAAAGTAGTTCTCCCCTGCATAACTGCTTTTCCCTGCGTCGGGAGCACACACTGGGCTCTTCAAATCACGGACAAACAGTATCCCACATTCTTGATTTTTAGTTCACAAACACTTGTCGTAATGACTAACTACTCCTGACATTTTGGAGATGTTAGCTCTTTATACAGTAAAGTTACAGCGGGATACAAATAATATCAGGCTGATCCTGCCACAATTTGTTCCCCCTGTCTAAATCACGGACAAACAGTATCCCACAGCTGTTTATGTTTTTAAACCCATTTTGCACAGAGAGGCATTTTTGAAAAATGTATTGATAGCAATGTTGAGGGTAAAATAATTACACTGTGATGCCTCTACCTTTGTAAATAGAGGGACAGTAACTGCGTGTGTGTATGTAAGTGTGTAAAACCTGAAGACACAGACAAAATTAGTTAATCTGACTATCTGCAATTCATCTCATGTAAACAATAACGTGGCGCACAGCGTGATGTGACAAAAGGCACATACCTTTGACGTTGTGTGATGAACTCTGTATTCCTCATCCACACATAAACGCAAAAGAGGAGTTTTAAAAATCTCAGTTTTCGGTGATTCGAAACGCCGTTTACGCGTGGATGAAACAGCTGTGTTTTCAAAAGTAGGTGCGAACGTAGCGTAAAAGAGTTAGTAGTTTGTTTTCTTACTACCTGTAATTTTTTGCAGATTACTTGTATTTGCTCAATTGTTTGCTAAATGTTTGAGGTGTGAAATAAACCGCAATGGAGCAGAATATGGGTGTGCGTGGTTGGAGGATGTGTTAGTGCGTGTGCGTGTGTGTGTGCGCGCGCGGGGGGCGGCATTTTTCTCGTAAAACAAAGGGGGGCCTAGCAAAAAAAAGTTTGGGAACCACTGGACTGGGGTACAAAGTTAAAACACAAGTTTCTAGATTTATATAAAACAACATTAAAGAAACAAGGAAAAACATTTGAATTAAGACAGAAAATTAACTTCAACCATCATGAAATGTAAGATCAGGGTTTCTCTGATACAGTTGTAAGAATTAATGCTGAGAGTTCTTCCCTGGTCAATGCCCTGTTCCAGGAAGCGTGTCCAATAAACTCTGAGTTTAAAAAACAAACTCTGAGATGATTAACTCTGTAAGCCTGAGTTTCCTGTTCCCGAACAGTTGATCAAAGTTCAATCAACTCTGAGTTAAGAGTGTGTGTGAGAAGAGAAAGAAAGGTATGGAGCTCAGATACCATAAATCACCATGAGTAAATTAAGAGCTGAACCTCCATTTTGATGGAGTAGTTTGAAAAATACCAACACGTGTCAGCGCTGAAAATAGTTATTTTAAAATAACAGGAGAGGAGAAATTCATTTTCTTGGTCTATTCTGTCATCATCATCATCAGATATTATAAAACTTCATGTAATGTATAACTACAACTTTTTATACTTCCCATGGTCATTATTTACCCATGAATTAACATATATTACATTAAAATGATCTGAAGTTGAATTTGAAATCTATTCAGGGGTAACCCGATAGCAGCAAAATGACAGAAACTGAAGATAAAAATCGAGATAAACAGATCAGACACAGTTTACTGATGGACGTAGCATCAGATAGCAGCACACAGAGTCAAGTCATTTTATTAAATTACAAAAAATGTTTTTGCCACAATTTGACAATTTCATTTTTTAATGAAATCAAACATTTCAAGCCAGTATTTCATGCATTGATGGGCTGTAGCAACCTCTTTTTTTCTATTGAGATTTCCATAAAAGAAAACAGTAGAGGCAAACGTTATACGCTCGTTTTTAGTGTCATTTTTGTGGTGACCAGGTAGCAGGTATACCAACATCTTAACATCCTCATTTTGTTGTGTCATTTACAAACGCCGTCACGGGAATTTAGGCCACATTGCTATAACGACCCCACCCAGAGTAGGTGGTACTCCAGCGTAATGGAAAAAACACTGAAACCAAGTCGAGTCGAGCAGAGTGGGTACTAGTGAAAAAGGGCTATATGATACCCCAGTGAGATGGATTTGGGTTAGTGTGAATGAAAAATGTGTTTCATTTAAAGTCACAGACTTTAAATCTACCTTACCTTTAAATTTACCTTACCTTTAAAATTACCTTAATTTACCTTTCAAAACATTGTTTGAGATTATTATATGACTGAGTCCTGTGAGTCTGTGAAATTTCAGAATGAAATGTTCAAAACACAGACAGTCTACTGTGTGCATTTCAAACCTGACTTTAAAGTATAGCTAATCCTGTGCTCTATGGGTCTAAAACTTTAAAGAGGACAATGACATACTACAAAAATACAATAATGTACTCAAAGTTGGCTCTGCTAAGTCAGAGTTGGAAATACAGAAACTAAATTAGTATATGCTACTATATGCTCTTATTCTCAGCTCTTAATAAATCTGCAATAATCGCTGTCCCAATCATGACATTTTTCACTGCACGATTATAAAATCAATCCCAAAAAAACAAAGTTACAAAGCAACATCTAACTGACAATTTGTAAGAACAAACTTCCAGCAGACTAATGTGCGTTGTTAACAACATTATGAAAGAGGAAATTAACTGGAGTGTCAGTTGGCAGGTTCAGGTGCAGCAAATGGGAGGAGTGACTATGAGTTTCTTACACAAATTCATAGTTTGTTTAAGAAAATCTGCTGAAATCTGTTAGGTTCAAAGAGTTTCTTAACCTGGTGAGTGACACCGAGTTAAAGTTAACTCTCTTTCTCTCCCTCATGTCAGGATTAGCAAACTTGCAGTTGTTAGTTAAACCTGCTTCCTGGAATAGAACCCACATAATACTGACCTGAATATGATTCATCTTTTCACTCAGGTGTTGCAGTGGTTTGACTTCTGCTCAGTGTGAGCTCGACAACCAACACTCTATTATGACTAACAGCTGTCCCACACGTTCTAAGCTTTAAACTTTTAATCAGTATGAATTCTCATGTGCTTCTTTAAGTGTGTCGTCTGGCTAAAGGTTTTCCCACACCTGCTACAGCAATGTGGTTTCTCACCTGTGTGAATTCTTGCATGAGACTTCATTCCTGATTTCTGATTGAATTTTTTCCCACAAGTGCTACAAGAATACGGCTTCTCGCCTGTGTGAGTTCTTACATGAGTTTCCAATGCTGATTTCTGACTGAAACTTTTTCCACAGATCCCACAAGAAAATGGTTTCTCACCTGTGTGAAATCTCATGTGTTTTATGAGTCCTGATGAGTCAGCAAATCTTTTCCCACAAGTTTTACAAAAATACGGCTTCTCACCTGTGTGAATTCTTACATGACGTTGCAGCTCTGAATTCTGATTAAATCTTTTCCCACAGGTGATACAAGGATACGGCTTTTCACCTGTATGAATTCTCACATGACGCTCCAAATGAGACTTCTGAACAAATCTTTTCCCGCAAGTGATACAAAGATATGGCTTCTCGCCTGTGTAACGTCTTATATGATTATCCAATGCTGATTTGTGGCTGAATCTTTTCCCACAGGTGCTACAAGAATATGGTTTCTCACCTGTGTGAACTCTAAGATGTGCACTCAGGTGGGATTGGAAGTAAAATGCTTTTCCACATGTGTCACATTTTAGAGACTTTTCCCTTGTGTCAGCAAGTCTGAAACGTCTCCTCCTCTTTAGTGCTATATTTCTAGCTGATCCTGAGACTACATGCTTGCTTTCTACTTCAGGACAGCTGTGAGAAAGGAGCTGCCCACTGTTTGATTCCAGTTCACTGTGGTAACTTTCCTGATAAACAAGGGTGTCCATGAAGGCATCAGCCTCCTGCTTCAGTCCAAGCTGCTGTCCTTCCTGACTGCCGCAGAGTTCCTCCTGTTCATTTTTAATCTGTGGAGGCTCTGGGTCGTCTTGGTCCAGACTAGAGTTCCTCTCCTGGTTACAGACCTGCTGACCTCTGACAACCTTCTCCTCATCACAGACATGCTGCTGTTGGAGGTCTGAATGGACAAATGAAGAAAAAAATAGTAGAAAAACAAAAATTTGAGAAGATATAGTATAAGCTGAACCATTAGGAGAACTCTACATACTGAACATGTGGCTAATATTGAGCAGTGAAACTTAAAGTGAATGCACTGATTCAAATTGTTTTTTAGTTTTACACCCTTCAAAGATCAGCTTCGTGGATGTCTGTGATGCTGTATATGAAATATAAAGATGCTTGTGTGTTTTCTGTTAAATGAACGCGGATGTGTGGGTACAATTGTATCCTGCTAAGTAGAGGTGAGAATGACCACAGGCTTCATAATGCTATTTTTATTTACTTTTTGCAACATGAATATTGGATATTGCAATAACATGTATTACAGTTTAACACAGTTTTTCAACTGCGATGTATGTTCTCAAACCTTTTCAGTATCCGTTTTATTCCAAATAAACTCCTCTCACTACAGCTATTATTATTATTATTATTATTATTATTATTTTCTTTCAGCAAAATGAGATTGCCAAGATTACCAACACTGTTACTAAAAGCTGTTATAAATGCTGCCAGACAAAGTCTGTCTTCTATCAGTCTGTGATTGAATGGCGTCAAGTTGACAATTAACTGTGATATATCATTGAAAATCACATGCCTAATCACTGTCTATGCAGACAGCAATTCTTCTTATCCAGGGGAACACTAAGGCATCCTCAAGCCAGCTGTGAGATGTCATCTCTCCAGTGCGTCCTGGGTCTGCCCCAAGACCTCATTCTGGTGGGTCATGCCCAGCTCCTTTTGATGTGGAGGAGTAGCAGCGACTCTATACTAAGCCCCTCCTGGATGGCAAAACTCCTCACCCTCTCTCTAGGAGAGAGGTCAGTGACCCTATGGAGAAAACTTATTTCTGCTTGCTTTTATTCGCAATCTCATCTTTTTTGTCAGTACCCAGAGCTCGTGACCATAGGTGAGGGAGGGACATAGAATGACTGTTTTACTGTACGTTCTGCATTTCTTTAGTCTCCCAATCTGTCAATCTCTCGCTTCCCTCATGAACAAGACCATGATATATGTATGAACTCTTCCACTTGGGCCAATAACTTGTGCTCACTCAGGCTGAGGACCATGGCCCCCAGATTTGGAGGTACTAATTTTCATTCTCACAATTTCACATTTGGTTGCGACCCACTCCAGTGACAGCTGGAGGCCACCATCTGATTAAGCCAACAGAACCCCATTATCTGCAAAAAGTGAGATTCTGAAGCGACCAAAGTGGAGGCCTTAAGCCAGCTGGCTATGCTTTTAAATTGTATCCATAATAATTCTGAACAGACTCGGTGACAAAGGGCAGCCCTGGTTTAGTCCAACATCTACCAGAAACGAGTCTGACTCATTACCAGGGGTGCAGATAACTGGTACGCATGTGTGACAAAAATTAAGAAAGCGTAGTGACACTTGTGTTACCAAGTGCCTTTGGCGTACTTGACCATGTCATTTAACCTTACACATTTTGCTTGTCACCACCTAAATGTCCAAAAAACAACAGACAATAAGTAGCTTCTTTGGTGTTTCGCCACCAGCTAAGAAATGCTAACCAGAGCCAGTGCTGAAGAAAATACTTTTTCAGAAAAGTTGCCACTGTGCACTAAAATGTGGTGAAAGATTTGCCTCTCTCATCTACATCTAAGAGACAAATCAGGTGCATTTTTAAAGGCCCAAAGAATTGTAACCATCCTTTATTTGACAAATGTGAAAAGGGCAAGGAGCACATGAATGTGGTGCGAGTCATTGCTAATAAACAAGCCATCCGAGAAGATATGTGCAGTTGCCCCCTTAACAGATGGCAAGACAAGCGAAATGACGAACAGAGGTAAGCCCTGTTTAATATTTTTCTCCTCGCTTCCACAAAGTTTAACACACACATCCTATGTCTTCATATCCTTCTTTATTGAAGCAGCTAGGTGTAAACGTCAGACGTGCATGTCATTCACTTGAAGGGGGCACACAGATCATGCAGAGCATTGCTCACACCATCAGCGGGGAGTTATGAGCCAAATTGGAGTCTGCTGAATTTGGATCTGAGGACATCACAAAAAACGAGAAGGAAATTGTTTACATTGTGTCCGTGTCCAACAACGGAGACTTTCTTGGACTGACTGCACTGGGTGCTGACCGAAAGACACAGGCCATAACAGATGATTTGTGAGACTTTTCCAGGACACAGGCTTGGATGACTGGACAACAAAGTTGGTCGTTGTGTGCACAGGCTGTCAACATGGGTATGTGCAACAGCGTCGTGCTAAAACTCTGGCAACTTGCTGCAGTTGCACATACTGGAAAATTGCATAAAATCAGCTGAATACAACGTTCCTTACTGAGAGACATTTAATCGCTCTGTGGTCAAACTGCTGCAGTTTTTATGCAAAAAGGTGGAGCAAAATACAAAACTGCACTGAAGAAGCTGCGTGACAAAAATGGGATCCCCTTTGTGAAACTGGGCGAGTTTCATAATATCAGGTGGCCTGCATGGACGCATGAAACTGTTAAAAATATTATCAATTGTTAGCCATTAAAATGCAACTGGCTACGAGTGACAACAGTGATTTGTAGCATACATGCTTAACATTGGCAGCATTTTAAAGACCACAACCATTAGGTTTCAGAGGGAAAAGCGGATCATTGGAGAATGTAAGGATGAACTCATCGTGGCCATTGGACAGTTTATCCTTCTGCTTGATAGTGATAGGCCACTATAGGGCACACACTGTTTCTAATGCTCATGCTGACAGACACAAGCAAAGTTACCCGGGGGTAAATCAGATACGACTTCCTCAAGTCATGCAATCATTTCTTAGTATTTGATCCTTCAACATGGCCTTAAGAAAGCAAGTACTCCACAGTTTCAGAAACACAACAGTTTGCAGGATTCTCAAGAAATACGAGGTCACCTTGCAGCTTGACAAAGACACTACTGTAACAGAATGGATGTGATTAAGGCAGGCAGGGAAACGCATGGGAGCCTCTTCTGTGTATGACTTGGTCCATCTCTTGGTCCTTACCTGAGTAGATCACTTGAAAAGTTATCTGCACCCCTGTTTATTACCAGCTAACAGGTGTGCAGGTCCCGTACAGCTTCTAACACGGGCCATTCATCCATATTCCTGAAGCAACCCCCTCAGGACTTTGAGCCGAGTCCCCTCAAGTGGTGCTTATTGACGACGACTCATTCAGACTGACTGCAACATGTTGGCAATCTGTCTGGAGAGTGTCTCTAAGCAAGAACACAGCTTTTACTTGCAAGGGTCCTACAACCTGTGTGAGAGTGACTGCAGTTAGCGCATGTTCAAGGTTTTCTGCATGTTCCAAAAACATCACATCTCTTTGTTTTTTCATTGATTTTTAGGAACGATGTACATCTCAACTTTGTTTCGGAAGATGCCTGAAAACAAGGAGTAAAGGCAACGTTACCCCAGTTGGGGCAGGGATAGCTACTCAGCTACCCCTTAGCTACCCTTGAGTAAGGTACCGTCTCTACAAATCCTTGATTCGCTGAGTGAACGGGTTAAATGCCGAGGACTAAGCAATTTCCTACAGGATTAATACAGTATACATTAGGGGTGGGGGAAAAAATCGATACTGTGTAGTATCGTGATATTTTGTTTGCTAATAATGTATCGATACAGGGACAGCAGAAATCGATATGTTGTTACAAAAAAGGTTTTTGTGCTCTGACTTCAGAGCATGTTGATCCTTTTTCTGAGCAAGAATCCTGACATTCCTTACTGTCCAAATGTGTTTAACTTTTTTTTGGCAGCAATAAACATGACAGTTTACTTATTTTAATTTAAGACATGTTTTATTTTAATTAAGTTTAAAACTTTTTTATTTAATGTAAAATTATATTTTGTTTTAATTTACGGGGTGCATAGTTTTCATAAATTGCATAGTTCAGAATAGCTATAATTGTACCAGATGGTTGCATTCAGTTAAGTTGGACTAGACTGTAATACAAACCGTTCAGTTTGTCAACAATAAAACTGACTGAAATGAGAGAAAGACTGAGTGTGAGACTTTGATATTAGATAAAATGAATATTGATAAAGTTTACCTTTATGTACAGAATCTGAATATCGCAAAATATTTTTAAAAATTGCAATAATATCGTATCGTGCGTTAAGTATTGTGATAATATCGTATCGTGGGATGTGTGGTGATTCCCACCTCTAGTATACATAGATTTAGAAAAGTAACAACCCTCTCTTGCCAAACAATGTTAGCTCATTATGTTTTTTGCCTTAAAAAAAACAAAGTGGATGAAATAAAAATTGATTTCAACTAAATAGAGACAAAACTGAGATTCTCCTGTTTGGAAACAAAGATCCATGATTACAACTTAATTCACATCTTGAATCTATAGGGCACTGAAGACCTCAACCTGGTTGGAAAATTTTGGTGAAATCATAGATGAGGAATTTAGTTTCACTGACTGTATCACAAGGCTGTATCATGGATATAATTTCTGTCTTTTTTCTGTTGTTTTTGGTTTTAATTTAATCTTGTAAACCAACTTGAATAACTTATTTGTATTTGAGAGGTAATATACAAATACATTTCCCATAACAGAAAGAGATACATTCATGCCGCTTATTAAAGTTGGACCTTGAGGAAGAAAGGATGCCCAGGTATAAAATCTTCATGCAGAAGAGATAAGTGGTCCTTCCCAGTTCAAAAGACTGGATCTAAGGCTACGTTCACACTGCAGGTCTTAATGCTCAATTCCGATTTTTTGATCAAATACGATTTTTTGTCTGCTTGTTCACGCTAAAAAAAAAAAAAGTGACATCAAACACGCTCTAGTGTGAACCCTCAAAGCGGCCAGCATGCGCAAAAGAAGACGTGACACACAACACGCTCTGTTTAGACCCAGAGCAAAAGTATTGTTTGGCTGTTTCGGACTTTACGTTTCCCAATTTTGCTTTAAATTATAAAGTTATTGTGTTATTTACATATCGCCTAATAATGATCCTTATTGCTGTTTTAGAGGAGCGGTGCTTCAAAGGATAGTTGCAGATTTCTGTCAGAATCTGCAGATTATACAGTACAAATAAAATGTTCACGTTTCTCCAACATTGTCTTCCCAACAGTTTCTCTGGATGGGCAGGAAGCGTTCACAATGTCTTCTCCGGTGCTGATAATTGGCGTCTGTCTCGTGTCAGTGACGTACAAGACGGATTTCATGCGACATGACCGTTCAAACAGCAGTCGCTTTCTAAAACATCAGATACGTATCGGATTCACAGCCACATATGAAAGTGACCCAGATCTAGGGTTGCAAAATTCCCGGAATTTTCAAAGATGGAATCTTTCCATGGGAATTAACGGGAATTTATGGGAATAAAGTGGGAATTTTCAAAATTGAAGGTTGGCTCTTCTTAGGGAACTTAAATATAGTTGAGGAAAGTATATTTTAGCATAATATTGACAAAAACAAACAAATGCAATTCAAATACACTTGAATATCCATGCCATTCCTTAATCACATGTACAGAGCACAAGCTTGCTGCATGGCTATTGAGACCACCTACTGGCACTGTGCATGCCTCCATCACATGTACACATGGACCACACTTTTGAGCCTGAAGGACAAAGAGTATTAAAGGCACACATTTGAGCCTGTGGACTTAACAAGTGAGGTAAGTTTTGATGATATTATGGGAAAATATATTCATTAAATGTTTAAATTGTGAATATCACATAAAATGTATTAATCTGGTAGATAGCAATCTGATAAGATGCTAAATAAAATGCTAGCATCTGATAAGCTGCTAAATAAAATGCTAGCATCTAATAAGATGCTAAATAAAATGCTAGCATCTATTAGATGCTAAATAAAATGCTAGCATCTGTTAGATGCTAAATAAAATGCCAGCATCTGTTAGATGCTAAATAAAATGCTAGCATCTGTTAGATGCTAAATAAAATGCCAGCATCTGTTAGATGCTAAATAAAATGCCAGCATCTGTTAGATGCTAAATAAAATGCCAGCATCTGTTAGATGCTAAATAAAATGCTAGCATCTGTTAGATGCTAAATAAGCCATAGCTAGTATAACATAAAGAAGATGCTAGCTTCCTCATTTGGTTGTTTTGTTTTGAAGATCATTCCAGTTGTTTAGCTAGCCTTACTATTTATATCTGTTTATTATCATATTGCAATTGTATTATTACGATCTCTTGCATTGCATTAGCATTTTTACAAGCTCTTGTTTTATTTTACAGAAAAATGCCACGTGCGCTATCTGATGTGTGGAGACATTTTACACCAGCTAATGTACAAGGGAAATCTGTATATATGTGTAAGTATTGTGATAAGACGTACGTGAAGAATGCCACAAAAATGCAGCAGCACATTGCAAAGTGCAAAAAAATTCCTCAAGGCCCAACACATGCAGCAGCCAGGAGTTCCACTCAAGGGGAAAATGAATCTGTTTCAGCTGTATCAGAGTCAGATACCCACTCATCAGCTCCTGGTCCCTCTGGCATCAGAGGATTCTTTGATTTTATGGATGACACTAGCCAGAAAAACGCAGATGAGTGTTTCGCTCGTGCAATCTATGCAGCTGGCTCACCCCTGATGCTGACATCCAATGTGTACTGGAAGAGATTTTTGAATGTTCTCCGACCAGCATACATTCCCCCAACCAGACATGCATTGTCTACTCATCTACTGGATGAAGAGTTCAGTCGAGTTCAAGCAAAGGTGAAACAGACCATTGACCAAGCTGACTGTATTTCAGTCATCTCTGATGGATGGTCCAATATCAGGGGACAAGGAATTATTAACTACATAATCACCACTCCTCAGCCTGTGTTCTACTAGAGTGTAGACACAAAGGAAAACAGACACACAGGCCAATACATTGCAGATGAGCTAAAAGTGATCATCAATGACCTTGGACCAGATAAGGTTTTTGCACTGGTCACTGACAATGCAGCCAACATGAAGGTTGCCTGGGCACATGTGGAGGAGACCTACCCTCATATAACTACTATTGGCTGTGCAGCTCATACACTAAACCTTCTCCTAAAAGACATAATGGCACTAAAAACAATGGACACTCTGAATAAGAGAGCGAAGCAAGTTCTGAAATATGTTAAAGGCAAACAAGTAACTTCCGCTACATTTCTGTCAAAGCAAAAGTTAAAGAACAAGAGTACTACACTGAAGCTTCCCAGCATAACGCGATGGGGTGGTGTTGTTATCATGTTTGACAGCCTTCTGAAGGGAAAGGAGTCTCTGCAAGAGATGGCCATATCCCAGTCTGTAGGCATCGACAGTGACATCAAGAAGGTCATCTTGGATGATGTGTTCTGGGTATCTAGAGTATCTAGCAGTCAGAAAATCCTCAAACCTATTGCAGCAGCAATAGCGAAGATAGAGGGGGATGGTGCCATCTTGTCAGATGTCCAGTGCCTTTTTGCAGAACTCAAAGAAGAAATCCAGACAATTCTGCCCACTTCCCTACTACTGAAAGCAGAGGAAACGGCTGTGGTCAAGTCATTGGAACAGCGGAGGGAGTTCTGCATGAAGCCAGTGCATGCAGCAGCATACATGCTGGACCCCAAATATGACAAGGGCATACTTTCCGGGGAAGAGATCAACGGTGCCTATGCGGTCATTACAGCCATGTCTGACCACCTGGGTCTCGATAAAGGCAAAGTTCTAGGCAGTTTGGCAAAGTATCGAACAAAGCAAGGCCTTTGGAAAGGGGATGGAATATGGCAGTCATGCCAGCACATATCTGCAGCCACCTGGTGGAAGGGACTATGTGAATCTGAGGCCCTTGCACCTGTAGCCTCCATTCTCCTCCAAATCCCACCATCATCAGCTGCCTCCGAGCACAACTGGTCACTGTTTGGGAACACCCACACAAAGGTTCGCAACAGGCTCACAAATGTGAGAGTGGAAAAGCTGGTCGGCATTCGGGCAAACCTACGGCTCTTTGAGCCTGACACAGAGCCATCCTCAACAAGGCTGGAAAGTGACACTGAAGAGGAAGACTCAGAGTTGGATGCTGAGGAAGTGGACATGTTGTTGGATGATGATGAGGTCCAGGAAGAGTCTATTGACTGAGCAAAAATGAGAAAAGAGGATTGCTTGAAGGAAGATTTGCATGTTTAATGGGACGTTTTGGAGGATAAGTGGCATTTTTCATTTAACCTTTTGAATGGGACTTTGTGGAGATTTTTGGACAGGGGGCATTTTTGAATGAGCGGGGTTAGGGGATGGTAATATTGAACTCAACATTTCTGTTTTTATTCATCCATGAAACAAGTTATTGAAACGTGTTCTATTCTACTGTACTTACAAATAAATCTGTTTAAATATCTGTTGAAAACATTTCGCATGGAGGTTTTCTTATGATTTCTGTTTATATTTATGCTTGGAAATAATATATTCCCAGTTAGTTCTCCTAAATTCCCATTAATTTCCATAATTCCCATTATTTCCATGGACAGTTTCCAATATGGAATATTTCCAAAATTCCCAAGCTTAACTTACCATGGAAATTTACCGGAAACTTTTCGGAAATTTTCCGCCCCTTTGCAACCCTACCCAGATCGGATTTGAAAATATGATTGGATATGGGTCGCAGAGGGTCAGAAAAGTCGGATTTGATGTGCTTTCGCCTGCAGTGTGAACGTAGCCATAGAGTTCACAGTTGGTAATTCCAGCAGAGACACCAGGGGCATCTGTTTAAAATGTGCTAAACAAATAAATTTCCCTTAACAGAAAGAGATGCATTCATGCTGCTTATTACAGTTGGACCTTCAATTCTTCCTGTGCCTCTAAAAATAAATGTAACTTTAAACTCCAATTAGGATCCTACATGACTCATATTCATTGTTATTACGACAATCAGTTTTACATACCTATTCTGTGTAACTTTATCTCAGGTTTGCAGATGGTCCCCAGCAGTCTAATCTGCTCTTCCCTGGACCAGACGATAATGCCTTCATCTTGCTTCAGTCCAAGCTGCTCTCCCTCCTGACTGCTGCAGAGCTCCTCCTGTTCCTCTTTAATCTGTGGAGGCTCTGGGTCCTCCTGGTCCAGACTGGAGTTCCTCCCCTCCTCTTCATTGCAGTCACGTTGTCGTGGGAAGTCTTAAGCAACAAAGAAGTACAGAGTCAAGGTCACAACTGTGATGAGTTTTCACAAATATTTTACAAATGTGTGTCAAAGCCTGAATAAATAGTGATAATTTAAACACACATTTTTACAGAGACAGTGAGCCAGGGCTCTAGACTAACTTTTTGCCATCGGCGCAGCAGTGCATCTTTAAAAACTTAGGCGCACTGGCACAAAAGTTAGGCGCACTCAAATTTTTCAACCACTTAACACCGCAGTTTTACATGTGCACTTTTTTGGGGGGGAAGTTGCAGTCCATACAGACAATATTCATTTCTAAATTATTAACTAACAATCTTGTACTTAAAGTGCTTTGTCAATATTGTAGAAAATGTTAAACTTAATCATCATCTTGGCCTCCTCTGACGACCTGTTTGTTGCTGTCTGCTGCTGAAAGGCAGTGGGGAGAGTGGACACTTGGGCAGTGCATTTTTTGCAGCATATAATGTGCTTTCTGGATACACTGTGCTTTTTCAGCGTTCAAAGACAGATGGCACCATGTCAGAGCTGGCTATGAACTTCAGATGGATCAGGCCTTAACTTAACAAAAAAGTTATCAATAGTTCTTTTCATCTTTTCTTATTACCCACAGCTACATCCACTTCTTTCGGGCCTCACTAGGGCTGCGTATCATCATCACTGATTTCTATAATCCATTCGATTCAGGTTCTCAAAGTCCTGATTTGATTCAATTTAGCCTCAGACAGTCAGAAATATTATAATTCTTATCATTTATCAGTACGGATACATGTGACTTCATCAGAATTGTGAACATCACAGCAGATGCTTTTGTGTCAAAGTAACTGAGAATAAAACACAGAAAAACATGAAGGAGATTTTTCTGGCCTGGCTTTTTATAGCAGATAACCTTAAAAATATTCTATAATTTTGCTTAATTTTAAGAAGTTTAAATTTCTTCTGTATTGAACAGCAAAAATTAGGCTTTAAGTGATCGCACCACTGAAAATTTTGGTCGCATTTGCGACCACATTGCTCGCACTCTAGAGCCCTGTGAGCTCAGATCACACCATCACTGGTGTCACAGTTGTGTCAATCAGATTAAATAAAATGTGTAAATATTGAAAAAATATATAGTCTTGTGGTTTCTAGTCAATATGATATCAAGTTTGATTCAACAAGAAGAGGTTTTAATTCACAGCGGTGACCATGAACATGCACCAGTCCAACATAGTCCATCACTGGACACTGAACCACAGCACTGATAAATACCCAGTTTAACATCTTCTAGTAAAGCCACTGTATCTTCAATCGGACCCTGAGCACTTGTTTTCACTTAGGAGACACATTTAGACATCATACTTTGCTTCAGTGATTGTTTTCTTGCTTTTGCTGCAGATGTAAAGACATTATTTATAGAAGTATTTGTAACATGGACAGATTTTGTTCTGATACTTTGGAGAGTCTGTCACTGTGTGTGTTCACTTTGAGGCTGTTATAAAAAATAAATGGAATAAACAGTTGGTGTGGACGCTCATCTTCATCAATGTTAGTCAGAAGACAGTTTTCACACTGTCTCATTAAGAGTGTGTGTGCTCTTCCTCAACTATCACCGTTTGCTCCTCTGAATTCATCACCAAAGTAACAGCTGCCTGCTCTCAGCTAACATCAGCTTAGAGAAATCCTGGAGATGCTGATAAACTTTCAGATTTATCACCAATCAACTAAACACTGAAGAATCTGAGCTTGAACAGCACAGAGTTAAAAACATGTCCATACCTGTGATGTGTGAGTTTCTGTCGGGTTTCCGGCTGATATCCAGCAGTCTGTGCTGACGGTTGATCTCCTCCTCATACTGGACGATGGTTTTTTGAACCTCTGAGAAGATTTCTTCACAAACAGCAGTTAGTCTCTCCTTGATGAACTCTCTCAGATACTGAGCTGAACTCATCGCTGCTTCCGCTGAGGCTGAGCGGATCGATACAAGCATCGACACCGGTATCAGATGGATATTAACGTCATAAGATCAGTACTTTAGTTTGTGTTTTTCCTCTAAGTTCAATCAGCTTTATCAAACAGCGGCCATGTTGCGGACGTACTTCTCGCTCCACCCAGGTCCGCCGTGAGTTTGCGCTCGTGCGTCACGTGACTCAGGGAGCCACGCCGATTTGTTGAATAGTAATGCCGCGTTCCAGATGCCTCGGATCTCGGGAGTTACGTCACTCCTGAGTGAGAGCATTCAGATAAAACAGAATCAGTTTAGCAAGGTAGAGCCATTCCAGTGTCGATAGCAGTAAGACCTGATACTTATTTGTTGTGCTTAAAAACACATTCAGTGATAGAGCCTGTTCACTTCTCTGCGTATGACTAATTGAACGAGTTGCAGCGCAGATTAAAAGTTTACAGTTCTAATTTTGTTCACATTCAGTCCCGCCTTCTTGGATTGTTAAATCGTTTATGTTGGTCTACTCTGACTTTCCAAGTGTGAAATCCGATGTAAGGGGCCCTCCACAACACATTTCCGACAGAGAACTCGGGATTTCCGACTTTAAACCTATGCACCATGTCCATTATTATTATTTATTTATCAACAACGGCGGCTTGTGAGTTGTGTCTGCATCCTTCAAATGTCTATTTCGGAAGTGAATTATTAAGTAAGGGATTCCATGTCACTCAGTTATCTAGTTAATATAAATGTAGCGAAGGGTAAAGCGAGGCTTTGTGAAACACTGTTTCCATTCAACATAGCACGATAAAATGTGATGATGTTAAAAACACGAAACTGTGAATGTAATGAACTGTGTGTTTCAGTAATACTATTTTCCAGTGTTAACCTAAATGACAGCCACACACACATACACACTTTGTGGATTTGAATGTCACCTACTTTTAGGTAGGTTAAGCTTAGACCTTAGTAACCTGCTTATGCTTAGGTAAAGTGAATAATCGAAAGTTCAGTAAAAATGAATACATTTGTCATATGCAAAAAAAATTTTTCAAAACATTTTTTTGGGGTTGAGCTATTCTACAGTATCTACCTCTACAGTGACATCGGCAGTAGGGTACTCTGGGTTTGGTCTTATTGTTTGTTATTGTTACTGAAAGAACAAACAAATATATTATATATATATATATATATATATATATTCATGATTGCAGTTTTCAAAAAGAATATTATTATTAAGCTTCATTGCAGCACATCCGGCATGACTCATTTGCAGTAGACATTTAAAAATTTGTAACAGCTCAAGGATTCAAATTCTTGTGACATTTTTAAAGATTAGACCTCAAAGACATTGCGTTTACTTTGAAGATCATAAACGTCAGAGGCAAAAAGTGGTTAAATGGGTTGATCTAGCCTTCAGATTTGTGTCACCAGATGTTTCCACCTCAACCCCATCAGATGTCCTCTTCTGTGACAGTGGGAAAACATGATGAATGCAGAAATGTTGATTATCTCTTTTTGAGGTTTTTGATACACATACAAAAATGATTTATCTCAGACTGAAAAATGACCATGTTCAGGTACATTTAAAAATACGTGTCTTGATTATTTCCCCTTCAGATCTGTGAAATGTGTGTGGATTTGTTTGAAAGTGTTCCAAACTTGAAAACTTTTTATTAGCTTATTAAAACCTTATTTACTTTTTGAATTGTATTTTAGATTTTTTATAGTAGAGATTATTTGAATATAGAACTTTTTATCTTTTCACGATGAATTAGTACATTTTGAATTTTTTCTTTTTTACCAAGTGCAATAATCACAATATTGTTTTAACATGTTTTTATCTTTTCCCTATTCACCACACTTCCTCAGTATTTTTGGCTGTTTTTGATATCAATTGTATTATAAAAAATGATGACTCAAATTATTGATACTTTTCAAAAGTTCAGACCTCTAAGATGTACCGTTTAGGGTCATATGTGATCAAGAAAACCAACAACAAATCTTCTCTGTCTATTTGACTTTAATCAACTCTGCAGTAGCTCCAGCAGAGAAATAAAGACAAAGTCCAGCATAGAGCGGCTGAGTGAATGTGGTCTGGACTCTGTAGAGGAGAGTCATGGTTTCAGAGACGCTGTAGAAAGACAGAATACCTGCTCTGTGATCCAGGTACACTCCTACTCTGGAGGACCGAGGACCTGAGAGGACAGTGTGGACTTTGTTGGGATAGAATGAATAACTTTTGTTTTCACAAAGTAATGCCCAAGATTTGTCATTGTATCCAAATACACATTCATTTATACTGCTCTTTTGATATTCTTGTATGAGACTGCTACTTCTATTCCTCTACCGCTCCTCTCCACTCTACCTGATCATAAAAGGTGAATCTGTCTGAATGATCAGAATAACATTGTTGTTCTTTCAACTGTGTTGCTTTTCTGTTCCCCTCAGATAATAACAGATGCATATTTGCTGTGTTTGGATCCAGTGTGATTTCATGTGAATATTTTAAGAATTCAGCTCTGGTCTTTGGCTCTGCTGGTGACAGTAAAACATCCTCTTCAGTGACTGTCAGTGAGATGTTTGTCCATTCCTTTCTCAGAATGTCCTGTAGTTTATCTCTGGTCTCTGACACAGCTGCTGTCACATCCTCAAAGTAGCTCAGAGGACGAATATTGATGCTGGATGAGTGTGTAGACTCACTGAGTGCTGACAGTGAGGGGTAGTTGTGTAGAAACTGGTTGTGATCCTCTGTGTGTGAGAGCTGCTCCAGCTCGCCGTCTTTCCTCTTCAGCTCAGCGATCTCCTGCTCCAGCTTCTCCTGAAGCTCTTTGACTCGACTCACTTCAGTTTCCTGCTGGGATCTGACCTGCTGCTTCACATCAGAGCTTCTTTTCTGGATGAGACGGATCAGCTCAGTGAACATCTTCTCACTGTCCTCCACTGCTTTATCAGCAGAGCCATTGATGGCCTCCACCTCCTGTTGAAGCAGCTTCACATCTTTCTCTCGCTCCTGGATTCCCTGCTGGATGTTTAGTCGTCTCACCTCGAGCTCCTTCTGCTTCTCAGTCCGTTCTGCTGCAGCTGGGACTGTTTCATGGCCTTTATGTTCATCCACTGTGCAGAGATGACAGCTATAAGATAAAAGTCTAAGGGGGTCAGATTGGGAGACCTTGGGGGCCATTCAGCTGGCCAACGATGACCAATCCACTTTCCAGGAAGCTGTTCATCTAGGAATGCTCGGACCTGGCACCCATAATGAGGTGGTGCTCCATCTTGCTGGAAAAACTCAGGAAACGTGCCAGCTTCAGTGCATAAAGAGGGAAACACATCATCATGTAGCAATTTCAAATATCCAGTGGCCTTGAGGTTTCCATTGATGAAGAATGGACCCACTATCGTTGTACCCCATACCACACCAAACCATCACTTTTGTTGTTCCAACAGTCTTGGAGGGATCCATCCAATGTGGGTTGGTGTCAGACCAATAGCGATGGTTTTGTTTGTTAACTTCACCGTTCACATAAAAGTTTGCCTCATCAATGAACAAAATCTTCTGCGTGAACTGAGGGTCCTGTTCCAATTTTTGTTTTGCCCATTCTGCAAATTCTGTGTGCCGATCTGGGTCATCCTTGTTGAGATGCTGCAGTAGCTGGAGTTTGTAAGGGTGCCATTTGTGAGTAGCTAATATCTGCCAAAGGGATGTTCGACTAATGCCACTCTCCAGTGACATGCGGCGAGTGCTACGCTGTGGGCTCTTGCTGAATGAAGCTAGGACAGCCACTGATGTTTCTTCATTAGTGACAGTTTTCTTGCATCCACATTTTGGCAAATCCAACACTGAACCAGTTTCACGAAACTTAGCAAACAGTTTGCTAACTGTAGCATGGGAGATGGGTGGTCTCGTAGGGTGTCTTGCATTGAAATCTGCTGCAATGTCCCGGTTACTGCATTCACCAGATATCAACACAATTTCGATCCGCTCCTCACGTGTTAACCTCTTCGACATGTCAATGGCTGTGAACAAAGAGAAACTTGTAAATAACTCATGAAAGAATAAAGTTACATTGAAACCAAGCACACCATTGTTTTTCTTGTGACATTACCAATAAGTTTGATGTGTCACATGGCTCTCTTCCTATTGAAAAAAACAAAAGTTGTATCCAAGATGGCCGACTTCTAAATGGCCACCATGGTCACCACCCATCTTGAGGAGTTTGCCCCCTCACATATACTAATGTGCCACAAACAGGACTTTAATATCACCATCCCCATGTTATTACGGTGTATCCATATAAATGGCCCACCCTGTATATTCCAGATGTGCCACATTAATCCAGAGTAAAAGTGTTTTTTCAAAGAGGAAAATCTTAACTCTCTCCGAGCTATTTCCACATAGGGTTAGGGCCCTACCTGCTTCAACTTTCTTGTCTGGCAAGAACAAGACGTTTGTTCTGTAGAAACTTTTGCTGTTTCTACAAAAAAAATTTAAACCTACAAAGAGTAAATTGGCCCAAATGGAGGGTGAATGTAAAAGTTGTATTAGAGAACTTAATTGTTTTTGTTAGTTCAGTCATGAAGCAGATTTATTCAGGTAATTTAATTAAAACACAATTTACTTAGAAAAAGAACATTAAAACAAAACTTTTCATTGCAAGTTTACAAGGACCCCCTACCACCACTGGATCCATCATCAGGAATAAAGACAGAAATCTGTGAAAAACTCAACAAGACTATGTTATGCTGTTTTCATATATTAGGTAAGAAATCCTCAAAATACATTTAATTAAATTCAATTTTATTTAAACAGTGCCAAATCACAACAGTTGCCTCAAGGCGCTTTATACTGCATGTATTCCTACAATAATACATGCAGATCAATGACCCCCTATGAGCAAGCACTTTGGTGACAGTGGGAAGGAAAAACTCCCTTTTAACAGGAAGAGAAAGAAAACAGGATAGAAGACATGCTGTGGAAGAGAGACAGAGATTAATAACGGGTATGATTTAGTGCAGAGAGGTCTATTAACACATAGTGACTGAGAAAGGTGATTGAAGAAGAAACACTCAGTGCATCATGAGAATCCCCCAGCAGCCTACACCTATTTCAGCATAACTGAGGGAGGATTCAGGGTCACCTGGTCCAGCCCTAACTATATGCTTTAGAACAAAAGGAAGGTTTTAAGCCTAAAAGTAGAAATAGTGTCTGTCTCCTGAATCCAAACTGGAAGCCAGTTCCACAGAAGAGGGGCCTGAAAACTGAAGGCTCTGTCTTGCTGCAGCATTTTGGATTAATGAAGGCTTTTCAGGGAGGTTTTAGAACTTCCTAATAATAATGAATTAACGTAGTCCAGCCTAGAAGTAATAAATGCATGAACTAGTTTTTTAGCATCACTCTGAAAATTAGAGGTCCAGGTATTTATGTCTTTAAGACATTCCTGCAGTTTAACTAACTAATTGGTGTGTGTTATCTGGCTTCATGGATAGATAGAGCTGGGTGTCATCAGCATTGCAGTAAAAATGTATAAGGGAAGCATGTTTAATGTAAACAGAATTGGTCCTAGCACTGAACCCTGTGGAACCCCATAATTAAGCTCAGCATGTGAAGAGGACTCTCCATTTACGTGAAGAAATTGGAGTCTATTAGATAGATATGTTACAAACCACTGCAGCGCAGTACCTGTAATACCTACAGCATGTTCTAATCACTCTAATAGGATATGCAATTATAAGAATAAGGTAATAAACTGAACAAAGAATGATGAGAGTTCTTCACTCCTCTAGACAATCCAATTTTATTCAGTTTTACTTATAAAGCACAAAATCACAATGACAGTTCTCTCAAGACGCTTTAAATTGTAAAGGACCTAAAATAGCAGAAAATACTGTCTTGAATATGAATCATCTCTCCAATCAGTTGTTGCAGTGACTTGACAGTGTAAGCACTACCACCAACACACTGCTATGACTCACAGGTGCTACGAGAATGCAGCTTCTCATCTTTGTGAGTTCTTGTATGACAGTTCAAAAGTGATTTTCGAGTGAATCTTTTCCCACAGGTGCTACAAGAATACGGCTTCTCGCCTGTGTGAGTTCTTACATGAGATTCCAATGCTGCTTTCTGACTACATCTTTTTCCACAGATCCCACATGAATATGGTTTCTCACCTGTGTGCATTCTCCTGTGTTTTTTAATTGCTGATAAATCAGAAAATCTTTTTCCACACGTGCTACAAGGATATGGTTTCTCACCTGTGTGACTTCTTTCATGACAGTCCAAAATTGATTTCTGAATAAATTTTTTTCCACAGGTGCTACAGGAATATGGCTTCTCACCAGTGTGAATTCTCTTGTGTTTTTTTAATGCTGATGAGTGAGAAAATCTTTTTCCACAGGTGTTACAAGTGTACGGTTTCTCGCCTGTGTGAACTCTCAGATGTATAGTCAGCACAAATTTATGCCGAAAGGTTTTTCCACAGATGTCACATTCTAGAGACTTTTTCCTTGAGACAGGTTTACTTTGACTCTCTGACACAGCAGTGTTGTCTAGTCTCTGTCTATGACTTCTCTTTCTGTGACGTCTTTTCTTCAGCTCTGTATTTCTAGTAGATCCTGACTCCACGTGCCCATTTTCTTCATGATCTCGGCTCTCTCCTTCAGGAGAGCTGTGAGAAAGAAGCTGCTCACTGTGGTCACTTTCCTCATAAGATCGAGTCACCATGAAAGTATCAGCCTCCTGCTTCAGTCCAAGCTGCTCTCCCTCCTGACTGCTGCACAGTTCCTCCTGTTCCTCTTTAATGTGTGGAGGCTCTGGGTCCTCCTGGTCCAGACTGGAGTTCCTCTCCTGGTTACAGACCAGCTGGTCTGTGAGAACACCGTCCTTTTCAGAGAGATCCTGCTGTTGGAGGTCTGAAAGCACAAAGGAACAAAATGATAAAAATACATTTACTGACAGGGCTCTAGACTAACTTTTTGCCATCGTTGCACCGGCACAAAAGTTAGGTGGACTAAAATGTTTCAACCGCATCACTTAACACCGCAGTTTTACATGTGCACTTTTTTGGGGGGGAAGTTGCAGTCCATACAGACAATATTCATTTCTAAATTATTAACTAACAATCTTATGCTTACAGTGCTTTGTCAATATTGTAGAAAATGTTAAACTTAATCATCATCTTGGCCTCCTCTGACGACCTGTTTGTTGCTGTCTGTTGCTGAAAGGCAGTGGGGAGAGTGGACACTTGGGCAGTGCATTTTTTGCAGCATATAATGTGCTTTCTGGATACACTGTGTTTTTTCAGCATTCAAAGATAGATGGCACCATGTCAGAGCTGGCTATGAACTTCAGATGGATCAGGCCTTAACTTAACAAAAAAGTTATCAATAGTTCTTTTCATCTTGTCTTATTACCCACAGCTACATCCACTTCTGTTAGGCCAAGGCTGCTCACTAGGGCTGAGTATCATCACTGATTTCTATAATCCATTCAATTCAGGTTCTCAAAGTCCTGATTCGATTCAATTTAGCCTCAGACAGTCAGAAATATTATAATTCTGATCATGTATCAGTACTGATACATGTGAGACTTCATCAGAATTGTGAACATCACAGCAGATGCTTTTGTGTCAAAGTAACTGAGAATAAAACACAGAAAAACATGAAGGAGATTTTCTGGCCTGGCCTTTTATAGCAGATAACCTTAAAAATATTCTGTAATTTTGTATAAGTTTAAAAAGTTTTTCTTCAGTATTAAACAGCAGAAATTAGGCTTTCTTGTCCGAGGTCATTTAAGTAAAAAAAAGAAAAAAAGAAAAGAAAAGACAGCGGCCGACAGCGCTGTAATCAACGGTAGACTGGTGGGTAATAAGCGAATGAATAATGCAGAAAACAGATTTGAGACGGGAAACTGTTCTTGAAGTACACAGAGAGAGAGAGCTGTGCAGGAAGTGTGATTTTTATCGTGGTGGAAGCAAAACAGCAAAACTCAAAGGGAATTCATGACGACATTGACCAAATGTGAAGCGCAGTTTGCTGCTTCTTTTGCTGCTGGCTCTGTGAATTTTAGTTGGAGAGAGACAAAACCTGCAGCTCAGAATCAGCGCAAAAAGACGTGAACACAGAGCTCCGATGGCGTGTCCGTCTACGGGCCGTCGGGTGAGAAAGCCGAGAAAGACAAAGTTGATTCTGATGCGTCGGTCTGTTCTGTGTTTACGTCTTTGTGTGGAATCCGTGTACCTGCTCTCATTTGCTGTTTGATTGTTGTTGAAATGGTTTTGTGAGCTTTAATCTGAGAATCTGGCGTTTCTGGTAAAACACAGTTAAATTTAAAAGTCAATTCAGGATTTAATGAATCGATATCGCTTTATTCAAGCTACAGACCTCCCACTTCCAACTGCACTTTCAATTGGACCACAGCCAATCAGAGAGGTCCCGCCCCTGACTATCTCTGATTGGTTTAGTCCATGACACGGGCATAATGTGTGTCTGTTGTTGACCACACGGAGAGTTACTAGGGATGGGTACCGGTGTCCGGTGCCATGATGGCACCGGTTCTGACATAAACGGTAGTAACCAGACCGAAAAGCAGCGCACATTTCGGTGCTTTATTTCGGTGCTTTTTTTTCCTGAGCTGTGATACACTTCTAGCCAATCATTTTACGTTTCCGAGGATAGTAGGCGGGTCCAGGTATGTACGTTCTTTTAGAGCAGAGCTACAGATTAAAAACGCCCAAGACGAAGCGGTCAAAAGTCTGGCTGTACTTCACAGCAAAAGATGCAAACTCAGCAGCCTGCAACAAGTGCTTTAAGCTGATACTGTGATACTGTCAAAGGAGGTAACACCTCAAATCCGATGAAACACCTGGCGACGCGTAGCGATTTTTTTAAAAGCCGAGAAATGCGCCGTATTTGATAGCTTGCTGCGAGACCTCACACCGAGCGCATCTACTGCGGGTGTGGTGCCTGTTATCAGACCCGGAGTTAGCAACATACCCAAAAACCCGAAGAGGGGAGTCCTGGCCCCTAGCCCTGCCAGTGTAGCAGAAATGATGAGGATGATGATGGCAGCAGCAGCCGTTCTTCTCTGCGTGAGTAGCTTAATGTTGTTTGTGTGTAATTTACGTTGAGTAGGGTAACCATGTTATTACATAAGGTGAACTAGCAAACATCATCATGGTTACATGTGGCTGTCTTCTTGTTTGATGGCAGATACTCCCTTCACCCTGGCCAAAAAGGCTAAAATGACCAAAGAAAAAGAGGGAAACAGCTAAACATAAAGTTTGTGTTTTTTTCCATTGTTTAAGCACTGCTTCCAGCCAAGAGTGATACCATATATGCCCTATAGCTGCAGAAAAGGCTAACATTGTTATCTTTTTACAAAAAACCAGCTGAACATGAGAGGTTTTAGGACCAATTTTGTGTTCTCCATTCTTTAAGCACCGTTTGAGCACCGGCACTGTTTCAAAAGTACCGATTTGGCACCGGTATCGGATAAAACCTAAACGATACCCATCCCTAAGAGTTACAGAGTTTTTTTTTTTTTGTTACCCGAACAGTTGGTCGCACTCTGCTCAATGTTATTTTAGTAACACTGTTATTTTTACAATGTTATTACAATGTTACTGGTGGTGGTCAGAGGGCCCGGTGGCGCCAGTGTCTGGAAGCCTCGCCTCTGTCAGTGCGCCCCAGGGCAGCTGTGGCTACAATGTAGCTTGCCATCACCAGTGTGTGAATGTGTGTGTGAATGGGTGGATGACTGAATGTAGTGTAAAGCGCTTTGGGGTCCTTAGGGACTGAGTAAAGCGCTATACAAATGCAGGCCATTTATCTTTCTTTTTTTTTTACAATGTTATTTTTACTCATCACCTACATGGGTGATCTTCATTTTTATTAGGACATCAGAGTCTTACATACCTATTTTGTGTAACTTTATCACAGGTTTCCAGATGATCTCCATCTCTCTCAGCTGCTCTTCCCCAGTCCAGACGATAATGCCTTCAGACTCCTGCTTCAGTCCAAGCTGCTCTCCCTCCTGACTGCTGCAGAGCTCCTCCTGTTCCTCTTTAATCTGTGGAGGCTCTGGGTCCTCCTGGACCAGACTGGAGTTCCTCTCCTGGTTACAGACCTGCTGCTCATCCAGACCCTCCTCTTCCTCACAGTCATGATTTTGTGGGAGGTCTTGAGGAACAAAGAAAAAAAAACAGAACAAGGTAACTAATGTGATGATACAAGAACACACGCAACACTATTTTACAAAAGCATGAATCAAAGCCTGAATAAATCGTGATCAATTGGAGAGACAGTGAGCTCAGATTGTAGCCTGACCGGCGCCACAGTGTGGTATTGATCATGTTAAATTAAGTGTATGAATGCAGGATGTTTTCATCAGCTGAGGCGGGTCATAGAGGCACTCTCAGGCAATGAGGTGGAATTCACAGGTGATGATGCAAAAATGCATGAATGTTTTCCAGTTTTGAAATAGTTTAAAGTGTAAGAGTTCAAATGTGCAACTGTCATTAAAAATAAAGGCACCACTGAGCAGTGAGATATATTCATTTGTAAATGTATAAAATTAATAGTTTTCTGTTAACATTCTGTTAGCATCTTGTCATTTTTGCAGAAACAATGTTGCACTTTGGCGTTATATTTTTCATGTTCACTGTCGAGCTTCATCACCAGGTCATGTGATAAGGTCTATCATGTTAGATGGTCTGTCTAACAATATCAATAGTAGAGCAGGGCGATATGGCCAAAAATATTTATCACGATATATATTTGAAAATTTGCGATAACGATATAACTGACGATATAATTGATGCGAGACAAAATACAACTCCACAACATTACTAGCGCAAAAAGACAACCTTCCATTTATTTTCACTTAAACAAGAAGCTGGTTTTATGTACATTAAAGCTTTATAAAAATGTAACAGTGCAAATGCAAATTCCTTGCTGAAAGTTTAACCAAAAGGCATTTTGTCGAGATGAAATATTATTTTACATTCATAATCTGTGACTATTCATAATCATTATTACCGTTGCATCACTTATGATGTATCATTATTATCATTTCATTGACACATTTATGGAAACTGGTGAGGTTATATTGAAGTCCGTATTTCAGGTGTTAGCATAAGCACATAATCTTTCATTGCAGGTGCAACTGTAATCATGTTATACACATATTGCATAATTAAAGGGTTGAAGCTCGGTCAAGTTAATTAATGGTTTGAAGCTACAGGCAGCGCGATGTCTGGCCGATCAATGGAGCAAAGTTCAGCTATTGAAAGGTTGCCTACATGTTTACCGTATAATTTACTAAATGTTGACTGTGTGCATTCAGCAGCCTGCTGCACTGAAGTTTGCCTGGTAACAGAGGACGTAGAGGGGGGTCAGGTGCTAAGGTTAACAACACAGACACATAGTCTGCCTGAGGGAACTGATTGCAAATGCTGTGTACCTGCATACGTGGCAGTTTAGTTCTGATAAGTCCAGTGTAAGAGTGTAATAACAGGATGCATCTGTTAGGTGGAGGAACATTGGAAGGAACTGTTCTTCTTTAGAATATGTCCTCGCTGGAGTTACTGGAACATGCATCTGCAGTGACGCGTATTGCTTGTATAAATATTACACCCCACCTATTGTCAGGCAGGAGATGGAGCCTGATGTTTTGCAGAGCCTATCTTCACCACATATATGTGTTTTAATAAAATAATTTGTGTTGACCCACTATGGACTTTCAGTCGTATGTCTCTTCCTCAAAATTCGAACCCCGACAGTTTCCAGTAGAAATGGGCTGACATCCTGAGCATAACCATGTATAATATCCACTAAAGTTAAAAAGAGGTGTTTTGCAACATTAAATTGCAGTGTGCAGTACGTATTTTTCGGACCATAAGGTGCACGGGATTATAAGGCACATTAAGCGAAACAAAGCAGTCAGATAAATCAAACTTTATTAAACTCATTCTTCTTGCTTCCTCCACTTCTGTACCATTGATTCATTAATGTTGAATTCTCTGGCAGCTGCTCTATTCCTATGTTGTTGCTGTATATTCATGACTAACCTCGTATTGTGGATGGATTATCTCAGTTGTTCTTCTGACTGAAGTTTGGTCCGTTTACAGCATCCTGCCATGCGATTGCATTTGTCTCTAACTCTCAGGAACCTTAACGTTAACTTTTATAAGTGGAAAAGTGTTAGTGTTCGTCCTCCAGCTTCACTGTTTATGTTATGCTAACATAGCTGTGTCGCTAGCGATCAGGTAGCACATCATTATATACCAGCTAGCCCAACTTCAGTAACCCTACAAACGTCACTGCTGTTTAGTTTCCTGTCTTCATTTATGTTGGAAGTGATAGCAGAGCTGTACGTTTTAATTTTTTCAGAAATCTCAGTCAGAACATGCAATATCATGCTTAGGTAACTAGCAAAACTAGCGAGCTAACTTCCGCTAGCTTCCTGCTAACTTCTAACTCCGTTAAATGTAATAAATTTTGTTTTCATGGATGCCTGGAAGTTAAACTTCATAGCTACACCTGGTTAAGCAGCAATGCTGATCGTTTTATTAAAGATGAAAGAATTTAGACAGTTTTTAACTCTCAGTGATGCTGCAGTGTTGTTTGACCTGAAGAACAGAGTTTAGGACCCAGATTACTCCCAGATTTAAGAGCATCTTAGTCCGACAAATACGACAATAACGACGGCCGCTTGCATGTTCTGCAAAAAAAATGTGCTTTCTTGTGTATCTGACAGACAAACACCAAACCAGTTCCACATCACTGAAGTTGCACCATTTGTACAAACCAATTCTGGTTCATCTGTTTCACTCAACAATCGGCCATGTGCGTATGAAAACAAAGGCACTGCGCATGCGCGTTTTACTCATATTCTATCGCGATATTTCATTTTCCTATCGTTGCCTAACATTATACCGGTATTACCGTGAACGGTATAATATGACCCAGCCCTAATCAATAGGACCTAAAACACTGACACCTGATGAACTGTGGAATCCTGTTGGAGAAAATAAAGTTTAAAAAATTAAATAAATGCAACAAAATGCGTATTCTTTAAAAAAACATTTTTTTCTTTAAGCTTCTCCAAATTTTAGTGCAGAATAAACATTAGAGCACTTTGTTTAAGTATTTATTTTAATCTGGTTTTGTGGAAACATAAACTAGTTTAGATTTAGATATGTTTACAAAATGTGTGCATAAGTGTTCAAAATGTACAATTTATATTTGCATTTCACGTTATAAAAACAATTTACTCAACATGTCTGTGTGTTTTTTTTAACAGTAAAATAATACTGGTGGGATTTTGTTTTTTGTGTGATTTCAGATCAATAAATGATGTCAATGAAAAAACAATTAAATTCAGACATGCGAGGTTGAGCTGAAAAGAATGATACCAAACAAGGCAAAGGGGGAAAAAAATAAAATGAAACAGTCTGAGGGTGAAATACAAATGTAAAATCAAAAGGTGTCAAAAATGTCCGGTTATATTTTGGACCTCAGAGGGTTAACCCAACAAATCATGAAAAATTAGGTTTACATTTTTGTTCATAACAGTGCAGATTTATGACATTTTGTGTAAATTTAACATGAAACAATTTGAATTTTTCTAACGAAAACAGTGTGAAACTTAAGTTAGACTTGTGTGTGTAAATGAACCGCCCTATGTTGTGTAGCTTTCTGGATTTTATACTTATTGGGCTACATATTTATTTATTATACAGACTATACAGTACATAGAATCAAAACTCACATTTTTTATGTAACTAAAGTTTTTAAGTATGTAGGCTACAGACAATGATTAAGCTACAGACTATATTTATATGAAAAAAGTGTATACTTACTGCATTTTAATCATTGTACCACCTGCATATGTGTTTGAAAAGAAAAGGCTTTGATTTTGCCACCCGAAGAAAATTTCTTTAGATCCGTCCCTGGTCTGCTCAGAGCTGCTGCTGTCTACACTGGCTTACTCTGCTGCTACCAGGAGCTAACCTAGCAGTGACCATGGACCTGCACCAGTCCAACTTAGTCCATCACTGGACACTGACCCACAGCACTGATAAATACCCAGTTTAACATCTTCTAGTAAAGTCAGTCACACTGAAGAATCTGAGCTTGAACAGCACAGAGTTAAAAACACGTCCATACCTATGATGTGTGAGTTTCTGTCGGGTTTCCGGCTGATATCCAGCAGTCTGTGCTGACGGTTGATCTCCTCCTCATACTGGACGATGGTTTTTTGAACCTCTGAGAAGATTTCTTCACAAACAGCAGTTAGTCTCTCCTTGATGAACTCTCTCAGATACTGAACTGAACTCATCGCTGCTTCAACTCAGGCTGGGCGGATCGATACAAGCATCTATACAGACTGATCTACACTGACGTGATGGGATCGATACTTTTTTTTTTTTTGGCCTGTCCCGTTTGGCTCTTTTGCCATCAGAATTGTTGTCTAAAGGCAAAGAAAGATGCCCAACGGATTTACTTTACCAAACTGACCATCCCAGTCTTGCCGTAATGGTCCATTTGATTCATCTTTTATTGTTTATTTTATTTTCACTTACTGAATACGGGACAGACTTGACTGGGGGAAAGAAGGGGAGAAAGAAAGAGGGAAAGAGAAACAGCTGAGAAGAGGGACGGGGGAGAAGGGCAAAAGACAAAAACCAACAGAACGGGCAGAGAAAAAAAATGCATATATCGATCACCTGGATCACCTGCTGAGAAAGAAAAAAGAAAACAAGCAGAAGAGAACAAGAGTAATAGAATAAACAACATCACAATGATATATGGGAATATGACAGTAAATACTAAATGTTAAACATTATTGTGCAGCACATAAGATCAACAGAACACAGTGTGCTTTGAGGTAGGAGCCCAAAAAGGGTGTAGTTTGTGGGTGTGATCACCCGTGTGTACACCTGTGAGCATGGACGCGCTTGTTTTTTGTTTTTGAAAAGGTTCCTTCATGTAATAATCTGCTAGAGGGTGTGGGGGGGCCACAGCCCCGTCCTCCAGGGCATGAAGCAGGTATGGAGGAGATCAAAACTCCAGACATCCAGAGGCCCCCAGAACACAAGAGACCAAGGAAGACCAACAGAGGGGCAGCCACGCCACTGTCCCAGAAAGAGCTGAGGAGAGTCCCAGATGAGGGCTCACTCAGCAGCCGCGGAGCAGAAGCCAGGGGGAGTTGCAGTGACGCGCCCGTGAGCTCCGCCGGCAGCCAGCTGCGCCTGAGTGACCGAGCCCCAGGCCGAGAGGCCGGGGGCACCCCACCTCCGAAGTGGCCCGAGCGAGCCCCAGGCTCCAGGCCCCGATAAGCGGCCGCCAAGGAGTGAGCCGGTGTGTACCTGGACGCCCATCCCCGGACACAAAGAACCACCAACGCACCGATGTCTGAGGGGGTCCGCCACTGGCAGGGGAAGTGGTGGTAGGGGGAGATAGGCCTCCAAACCTTGGAGGGCCTGAGATGTCCCCAGAGAGGTGGTGCCTGACACCCAACCTGACATATAGACACAGACATACAGGCACTATCGATGGGATCGATACTTAAGTTTCTCTCTCCCCGGAGTTCAGCAGCCATATCTGTGCACGTGACTATTCTCGCATGGACACGCCTCCTTTTACTTTGTTGCTCTGCTGTGATTTGTTGGCCTGCAGTCACGTGACGTTTTTTCTCCCTCGTTCATAACTTCATTCATATTCCAAAGAGAAAGCGTAAACAGGTTCATGCTTGTTATTGATACAGTATTTATCACAGGTCCTCCATGCATTCTCCTGCTGTATATCATTAAATAAGGAAGAGCAAAAGAGGCAGTAACATAAATAATTATATTCCTACAGTCAGCTGTTATTAATGCTTCTAAACTGAAGGCTAAATCATCAACAGTATGAGGACACGTGTTGGTGCAGCATCAAAAACTACAGCAGATTATTTTGGTTTTATGGATATTTTGAATTTGTCCAATTTGTATGAGAACAAAAACACATTATGACGAAGCTGCTGAGAAACTATCAGGATTCAATATGTCAAAAATGAATCCTGAATTAACAAAGAGTCTTATTTTATTTATTTATTTATTTGCTTGGATATTACTCATTTACATATTTGTTGTTGTTTTAATGCATATCCGTGAAAACATTTGCCTACATTCTTTTAAACGAAGCAAAGTATTTTTAGCCTGAGACCATCTTATAACGTGTTTCATAGTCCCTGTTAACACATGCCTGCTGACACATGACACACAGTAATATGTGTTTGAATACAACCTGAAACCTGTTAATGTTCTGATTTAACAGCAGATTTCTCCACATGCAGGACAGAGAAATTCCTGCATCTGTCACACAAAAAGTGGAAAATATATTTGTTTGACATTTTAATCACAATAACAAAGAAATAAAATGTTGGTATATCCACTTTTTACAACGAATCATCCATCAGTAAAGAGTGTTAAGTAGAAAAAGGCCAGTGAGTTTATGTAAATGCTGTATCTGCTGTAAGACACAGACATAAAAATACATTAAAATGATTTTCATTTCTATCCATCATCTTGAACACTGACTATAAATGTGTTCACTTCATTATTGTGTGATTTGGTTTCTTCACGTGTCTCCTTCAGTGCAAATAAAGGACTGTTAGAGTGTGTGCTGTGTGTTTTTCTCAAGCATGACAATCCTTTCCAACAAGTATTTCCAGCTGTTTGTCTCCACTCTGCACTTTAGTCTTTCTTCCTGTCATGTCTGTGTCTGTCCACCAGGTGTCTCCCTCAGCTCATTTTCTGTGTGCGAGTTTTCTTTCGGTCTCTGGTCATTTTAATGTTTGTTCAGTTGTGTGTAATTGTTTTTTTCACATATGAAGTCAAATCAAACACACTGAGCTCAACATAAACTTCCTGCTAACAGAATTTTAAATCAGTGCAGAGGCACAGAAGAAAGGACCCCACGCACACACACCGCTGTCAGTTTGCTCAGTTTGTCTATGGCAGCCGATTCTGTTGTTTTGGTGCTTTGCACACTGGAAACAGTCACTCCAAGACTGCTGCCACCCACTCGTCTTTCTGCTCCGCTGTCAATGAAAAAGCCAAGAAGATAGCAGTGTGATCTAACTTACCCCCCCTCCTCTGCAGCAGGCCAGGGAGCACACCTCCACCGCAGGCACCAAGAAGTAAAACTGCTTCAGCTATTCATTAAAACATGTTAGTAGTCCAAAATTAAACACATTTAAGTATTCCTTATAGTTCTTATTTCTTTTTAAGATACATGTTAATTTGAGCCCATTAGGTATGAGTCAGACACCCACTTTACTTTTAGGATAAGGATTAAAACTTTGCTTTTTGATGAAGCTCGTAGTTAGGATCAGCTGACACTGAACCTTCCCTTAGTTATGCCACTTATTCCAGTAGCCTAATCTTCTTCTTTTTCTACACTCATCTTTCTCAAACACCTCTCTGCATTTAATCATTAGTCATTATTAATAACTGGCTCTTTTACCCAATGTGTCTTTTGTCCTTTCATCCTCCCCTCACCCCCAAACAGTCATGGATGGCCCCGCCCCTCCCTGAGCCTGGTTCTGCCAGGAGGTTTCTTCCTGTTAAAAGGAGTTTTTCCTTGCCACTGTCACCATGTGCTTGCTCATAGGGCTTTGTGTGATTGTTGGGGCAGGAAACGTTGATTGATTAAGAATGACAATGACAGAACTGAGACTGACAGCAGAGGAAAAGTGGATGTGATGTAGAGAACAGACCATCAGCCATGAACAGAGGCAGTGAATCCAAATCTTTATTACTGAATATACATTTAAAAAGCAGAAGTTCATATTTACTGGCAGTTGTAATCCACAGCAACTCTTCAGTGGTGTTTATTAAAGAAGGGCTTTCTCTCAATCGCCCAATAATTGTTGAGTATTACAGGTTAGCGTTTTTTGCTCTTCCCCCCTTTTTAACAATGAAAATGACAGGAGTGAATAAAGCAAGTAAAATATTTATTCTTGTCATTGAGAGAAAACAAAATATTGACATTCTTAACAGGAGCTGCATGTCATGCTGTTATGAATGTTAGCATCATATTTTTCTACATTAAATAACTAGAGGAGAGAAAAGTTTGAAATGTATGAAAATAAATATTGAATGCAGACTTTGAATACAATTGGCTTTACAGCAGCTTTTAGTTTTACTTTAAACGATTAAAGTCAGAACTTTCAGTTTCTAATCTGCAGGTTTTATTATGACTTTGGTCACAAGTCGTCCAAAAAAATATTTTCTGCATGTCTTTAACCTGTTGGACTTGTTTTCTATCAGTGTTGTTCCAGTAACTGTGTGTGTGAGTCTGAGATAAACAAGATATTTTCAGGTACAGTACAGAAAAACACTCCCATTTTAATTCAAATGAATCGTCAACACATTTCAGTGTTGTTTTAACAGTTACGTAATATCAGTGATGCGAGTTGCTCCTTAATGCTCAAATCTCCTTACTGTCCGTCTGTTTGTGTGCTTTGAACACCAGAGCCTGTCACCTTTGTTATAAAACCATCCCTCCTAAAGGACTTTGTTGTTCTTTATACACTTAGTTACTTTATCTCTGTATTTAAAAATACAAAGCATATACACATGATTATAGGATATGATTCTTTTATTCCTGCAACTTACTGAAAGCTTATAAGATGTGTGTTAACATTCGATACTATTTTTGTTAACTGTCATATTTGATTTCCTTTGTCTTTGGACTGCAAGTGTCCAGAGTCTGCTGCAGCTCCACTGTGGTGTCTTTGAAGGAGAGGCGACATGAAAGAGGCTGATGACACACAATTCAGAAGTGTGTGACTGATAAGAAAATTTAAAAGAACTAGTTATCTATGCTTAATCTGTTTTTTAATTCATGTTGAAATAATGTGGTTATTAAAGTAGGATTATCGCTGTTTTCAGCTGTAAAACAAAAACACTCGAGCCCTTCAAATAAAACGTTTACAGGGCAGTGTCTAAAGGACGGAAAGCAAATATATTTGAAAGTAAATGTCAAGCAGAGTAACTCCTGTCAATATTTTACTCAGTTATGTCAGATATGTGGTGTTTCTGGGTGAATATTAATACAATGTTTTATTTTATTTTAAAGCTGTTTCTCACTTGTTGTTTATTGTAGATGATAAATTAATACTATTTTTATTCTTCATCATGGTCTGTAATACAGCAATTTCCCTTGTGGGAACAATAAAGTATTGATCTGTCTATCTATTAAATTCAGTAAGATTTATATTTCACCAAATTATAACGACATGTTTAATATCGTAAGGTGGAGATCCTACAATAATATAGAGAAACCACAACAATTACACAAACTCTTAAGAGCGAAAAACTC